ACTTATTTGTGGAGTATAATTGAAATAGGAATAGTAAAGTATAAAAGTATAAAGTATAAGGTCATGGCTGGTTAGATCGTATAGAGATTAAAACGCCTCGATTTACCAATAAATAACTGTACATCATTAAGTAACTGTCTGTTTGTTAGTCCATCACAATCAGGACAGCCTTGTAGAAAAATGTTTGTGTCAATATGGTAATGATTTCCATAATTATCAACAGAAGTAAATAAAGTAAGTCTGAGATCATTATACAATGAACATTCAAGAAAATAATGGAAAACTGTTTCATATTCAAAAGAGCAAGCACAAGAGGGACAGTCAGTTAAATGGTCATTGAATAAATCAAAATTTAAATTGCTACAGAAGTTTCTAAGTTGGCAAAGAATATTATTGGCCCGTCTATCACCTTCAGTTTTAAAAATTAAGGTTGATTCATTATCGATAATAATATCTTTATTCAGTTTGTGTTTAAAGGTTGCAAGAGTTGGGGAGTTTAAGAGATCATTATCAGTAGTGTTAGTTGTGCGGCACATTAGAGGGAGGAAACTGTCAAAATAATTGTTAGTTCTGCATATTGGTGGATTAAACAGTCTTGTTTGTCTGAGGAAATAGGGATTATTGTTTTGATTGTTAATGAAAGGATTTAAGACATCTTGTAAGTATTGAGGTGACAGCCCATGCATTATTTTATACATCATTATGTGTTTGTGTTTATTTCTTCTTGTTGACAGAGTTTCCCAACCAAGTTCATTATAAAGTTTATTATGAGATGTTCCAGATCGAAGTCCAGTAATGATTCTGGCTGCTTCTAATTGAATAGATTCTAGAAGTTCTTTAGATTGTTGAGTGCAATTATCCCATACTATGTCTGCATATTCCAAAATTGGCCTGATAAATGCTATATAAATTTTAATTAATGATTTACGATTGACTTTAGTTTTAATGTAACGAAGAATATTTAATCTACTATAAGCTTTTTCATATATATTCAGAATGTGTTGATTCCAAGATGCATCATCTTTTAAAGTCAGTCCTAAGTGTGTATGTGCTGTTGAGTCAGTGATTTGGCTGTTTTGGAAAGTTATTGGAGGGTGATGTTTGTTATGTTTTCTAGAAAATATTACAGATTTAGTTTTGGTAGGGTTGAACTTGATGTCCCATATACCTGCCCATTCACCAATGTTAGAGAGATCATTTGTCAGAACTTGTGCTGCATGTGCTGGGTTTTCATCTATAATTACATATAAGGAGGTGTCATCTGCAAAAAGCTTAATATTAGTTGAAACATTGTCAGTGATGTCATTAATATAAAGGAGAAATAGTAAAGGTCCCAGAACAGATCCCTGAGGTACCCCTGCATTTATACCCTTAAACTGTGAGTGATAACCTTCAGTGGTGACTCTTTGCAATCTATCAGAGAGATAATTTTCAAACCATAAAAGTAAATTTCCATCAATTCCATACGTTTTAAGTTTATGTAAGAGACCTTTATGCCACACCCTATCAAAAGCTTTGCTAATATCACAAAAAATAAATCTGAGCTCCTTCCCCTGGTCCATATTGCTAACAATTTCATTATAAATAAATAGTAGTTGATTAACAGTAGAATCACCTGGTATAAAGCCAGACTGGTGCTTAGTTAAGATAGAATTTTCTATTAGATAGTTGTAAAGATTTTTGAAGACAATTTTTTCCATTATTTTACTGAAACATGAGGTTATTGAGATTGGTCTATAATTTAAAACATCATTTGATGAACCCTTCCCTTTATATATAGCATTTATATTTGCTTGTTTCCATCTATTTGGTAATATTCCTGATTCAAGTGTTTTATTAAATAAAAGACAGAGGGGTAATGCAAGAGAGTTACTCAATTTTTTTACAACTTTAGGGATTACACCATCAGGGCCAGGGGGTTTATTTACATTAAGAATATTAATTTGGTCAGATACATCTTGTTCAGTGATATGAATGTTAGTTAATGAGTATGGAGTATAGGGCTGTACTGTCTGAGGTAATTCAAGGTCAGGGGATGACGAAGAGATATTAGTAAAGTGATTGTTAAGGATTTCTGCTTTGTCAAGAGGATGGTGAATGAATTGGTCATCATGTTCAAGAGGAGGAATAGAAGAGGATTTATTGTAGAAATTAGTAATAGATTTTGCAATCTTCCACCATTTGTCTGGGGAGACCATGTTTTCATTAAGACAATTTTCAAGTTTTTGAATATAATTTGCTTTTGCCTCACGAATCAAGTCAATAGTTTCATTTCTGAGTATACGAAATCTTTCTCAGTAGTGCGGATTATTTGTTACTTTGGCCTTTCTATGAATTCTATTACGTTGTCTCATTTTCAGCCTAATAATGTTATTCATCCATGGCTTATCATTTGGGCGTACAGTAATAACTTTGGTAGGGATGAAACTATTGACTTGTTCTATGATTGAATAAATTATGAATGAGTTAAATGCATCAGAGTCCAGATTTAATGACAAATTCAACCAATCAATATTAAGAAGAGCATTATTCATACTTTCAAAATCAGCTTCATCATATTTCAAGATAGTTTTCTTATAATTCACTTGTTTAAATACAGTAAGAGAGATTTGGGCATGAACTGATGAATGGTCACTACAGAATGGTGGTGATACATAAGTATTTTTAATTAAGTTTAGGTTGTTAGTAAAGATGACATCAATAGAAGTGGCACTATCAGGTGTTATTCGTGTAGGTTCATTAATAAGACTAGTTAAGTTGTGCTTTATAAGGAGTCTTGATAAATGATCATTAAGCGGTACATTAAGCATATTAATATTAATATCACCTGTAAGTATAATATCCAATGAAGTATCAGAAGCTCTAGTTAAGGTATCATCAAGTTTATCCCATAATTCAATATTACTATCTGGTCTATATATACACCCGAGAAGAAATTTATGAGTATTAATTAAAACTTCTAACCAGAGTAATTCAACATCATCCCTTTCCAAGTCCAGCCTTCTTTTTGTTACAACAGTATTTTTATGATACACTATAACCCCACCACCCTGTCCAGTAGTTCTATCTTTTCTATGAGGAATTGGATTAAAGGGTTGTACTTGAAATATCATTATTTTCAAACTCGGCTTCAATAAGTGGGGTTTTATTTCTGAGAGATCGTACATTGAGATGAACCAGATTCAGATTATGTTTAGGTCCAGGATTACTTTCAATGTCACAACAACAGGATAACACTATAAAATGCGAAACAAGAAAGTAAGACATATTGATAAAATAGGTAAACATGTCAATTAAGTGTAAATAAGAGTAATGAAAGCCATGACATAACTCCATACAAATATGTATGCGCTTAGAAAACTGCCAGTGATCAACCGTTACCATAGTCCAGAAAACCTGGAAATCTAATATATTACCCATTGTCAATGTAGAAAAAGCGGGCAGAGTGGGCTCGGTCGATCATCCAGCTGTTGAAAATTTCTTCAGGCGGGACATATGAACAGTAGTTGAGCAAGAATGTGAGATAACAATAAAACAGACAGGACAATACAACTTCCATACACACACTCACAACAATAACACACAAACACATGTTATTAAACGGAAGCGGAAACGACTCATCAATGTGCTTGAGATGTTTGAAAGCATAGGTCTTCGAGTAATACATACATAATACATCCATCATTTTATAATACACTTGCAATGCACTTGCTAAGAAAACTGCCGGGCAGATTTATATCAAGTCAAAATACATTTCTGCCGAACATATTTTTCTCCGAGAAAACTGCCGGGCAGATTTAGATAAAGTCATGATACATTTCTGCCGGCCCATATCGGCCATCGTAGAAAACAACCCTATAGGAATAAACCGGGAAGCGTCGATCGTGCGTTCCATATAAGTGCTTTTAAGCTAATTATATTATATGTTCCGTTGTCAAAACTTGTGTAGGTGATATTTAAAGTGTTACATACATATACAAGACCTCTTTTTACAAGTCTAATGCTGTCAGCATAATACACAGATGAGTTTAGTGTTATTTACCTGTACATAAATTTATCACCGATGCATATCACACGTAATAGACGCATATCACACGTAATATACGTCTTTGCGTAGGCTAAGGGAATGGACCGAGAGAATTGTCATTATTGAACCAAGATGTTAAATCATAACTTTTGTATATAACATGTATATGGAGAAAATTTTATTTTGAACCTCATAATTCAATTATGTTCAAATAGATAAATATAATCACAGAAATAGTGTATCTTTCTTACACATAAGTACTGTATTGTATAAAATTAAATATGTAACTGTCGGTATTTTGCTGTTTATTTGGGTTGTCTACCTAACATAAGGAAGACAAAATGTCATCAATGTGTGAGTAAACGGTAATATTTTAAATATGCCATACATTTTATTGCCATTCAAAAACAGCAGACACCAACGTTGAAGTTATTTTGTTAGCATTTTTCACTGATACATTTCCGTATTTTTGAACCGTAGCGGTACCACAGTAAATGCACACCAAAGTATATAACTTCGCAATATAAATAATCCGGCACAGAAATTGGTCACGAAGTAGTACTTGTTCAACGACGACGTGATGGAAAAAGTTCTAACTGTAGAGTAAAGAAAATGATTGCAAACTGTATTTCCAGCTAAAATAGAGAAAACATTTTTGATCAACAACATTGAGAGTAATTCTGCTTAATTTCCCTCAAACTCAGTGCTCAGAAAAACTGGACATGCAATGCCACCAGTCCGTTCTACCCAATTCAGAGTCACCAGTTTGGTTTTCATTTAACACTCGCTGTCTGAAAAGTTTGACAAATTTCACATGACTGGATATCATCTACATAATTTTATCTTCAGCATAATCTGATTCCTCAAAAGTTAAAAAAATATGATTTCGCAATCTGACGCTGTATGGCCATGGCTGTTCTCGGTCTCGCCTATTACTTTCATGGTGGCTGCTACAGGCGTTAAACTTGTGACGTCACATCCGATAGGGTCCCATTCACTGCCAGTTACGATTATGCTAATTAGTAGTAGAAGGACAGGTGAAAATCGTACACTTTACACATCAATATCTCGGTATTGGGCTAACCAATTTTTATGCGGTTTTCGACTTTTATGTTTTTTGTTCATATATAACAATGATATATTCATTTCTGTTTTCGTTCAGGGTACATCTTAATACCTAGGGGAGTGGGGCTGGGGGTGGAGTGTTTTTTTGGATTAAATATGGATAATTTAATTTCGGGTGTTTATATCTTTGGAGGTGGGGGTTTTGGTTGGGTTCTGTTGGGGGTTTGGATGAATCATATAGAACTAAATGACGGGTGACAATAGTTAGGATTGCAGATGGATGAAATATAGATAATTGACCGTCGGGTGGTAATACCTAGGGGAGCGTTTATATGAAATCCCTACATGAATCAGTCATTGTAAGTACTCTGGTCAACAGGTGGATATTTGCACATATGCACAGTTGTTAACCAACTGTAGTGTTCTTGTCAGTATAAAAGTGTTTGTTGACCGTTTAATCCGGGATGTTTTGGTGTAGGAATTAATATTTTGTATAGCTAGCTGATTATTTAACACCTAGACCTACAGTATATATGAGTTTGATTATGTATACACAAGAATAAATACCTGTCACATTACGTAAGTAATCTTCACCTGCATTTCTCCTTCTCTAGGCATACTGTCAAAGTCAGCAGTCTGAGATTGTAGCTGTGGACTCCCAAGCCGAAAATGACTTTCTGGTGAGGTATATGCGTCGCTTGGGATGTAAGTGCATATCATAAAACAGAAGTAATATCTTTTTCTTCCTCATATAATGTATTTATTCCTAAACTTAATTAATTTTTATCTCAAAATTATGAAATATCTTTTATACACTAGTAATATAGCATGACGCGAAGCTGAAGGTGTCGGTCATCTCTCGTAATATAACTGTACTTTTTATTTGAGGTGCCTTCAATACTCTGTTCTGGATCGGTGCGACTGATATGATTACGGACGGTGTTTGGGTATGGACCTCCTCGCTGTCTCCACTTTCCTACTTTAACTGGGGTCCCAATGAACCGAACGGCCTGACCAACGAAGACTGCATCAGCGTTACACATGACTCTGGGACGTGGAACGACTTCTCATGTAGAGCCCCCTTATACTATGTCTGCGAATTAAAGTAAGTATACGAAGAGACCAAGGATCATGTAGCTCCCTGGCATATATATGTTCTGCTTAACAATTGCATTCATTAAATATTGGTCGAAAGTTAAGACAGAAGGGGAGATTGATAACGACTCTTAATTGTATGTTTATATAGAAACTACTTCATAATAGGCTTGATACTATCGAAACATGGAGACAAACACAGACATATATACAAACAAAATGAAACTGAGAAAGGGAAAAAGGCATGTTCGGAGTGCTTTCTCTCTCTTAATCTCAAAGGCTGCAGACAGATCATGAGACAATCGTACGACAAGATTCTTTAAAAAAAATTGTCTACAAAATATATTTTGCCGTTATAATTACAGTCAAAATGCAATAACGTTATTACCGATATAGAAAGTTTGTGTTATAAACAACTGGAGGCCTACTTGAGGCGTCTGACATTCTGCTACCACTAGCCCTCCACCACTGGGTCACGGGTTCGAGCCCTACGTGGGGCAGTCGCCAGGTACTGTCCGTAGGTTAATGGTTTTCTCCGGGAACTCCGGCTTTCCTTAACCACCAAAGCCTGGCACATCCTTAAATGACTATAAATGTTAATAGGACGTAAAACACAAACAAACCAAACCAAACCACTGGAATGAAGTAAGATAGTACTCAAAAACACTCTATCCATCAGCATATAGCTGCTTCTTACTTGTCTATCTTTGTGTATAGGTTAATATGTTTATCTGCTGTTACAGATCCTAATATGCTTGGTACAGTTTCAGACTACAGGATGATTATTTTCTTACAGACAGAAGACATGTGGAGTCGGGAGTACTGTCATCGGATGAATAGAAATGTATTTCTTATACTTTAGTGGTTCATGTTCTTGTATTAAATGTAATAAATCAAAGCAACCTTTTTTTATTTTTCCTTTATTTCACGATTGTTGAATTTAAAATTTCCGAAAGAGGGGTCAATTAATAATAATTGATCATGTACGAACCCTGCTCCTGACAAAATTGACGCTTGTCTTTCTTCCGTTTTTAAGTAATATCAAAGGTTTGCTTTTTACACAAACAATGTACGTATTAATCGTGTCGCAACGTTTCAAGACCGAATTGTCCCTTTGTCAAGCTATGACTGAGTGAACGATGTGACGCAATTGTAAATTGTTTATGTCACTCGACCCGAGACGTTTCGCCTATCGATAGGGAGCGTATACACACTGCTTAAGATAGCCCCCCTCCCCTGTTATGTCAGTATCGGGTCATGCAGATGACTAGCTGGTGTCCCCCTCATCTCTGTTCATATTCTGAATTTTCCTTATTTTCATTGCTTCTTTGATTTGTTTCGTTTTTGTGTGTTACTCCCTTTCAACTATCTTGGCATTGTCCCAATCGACGATGAGATTTTGGGTGTTAGCGTGATCTGTTAATGCCGATTTATTGTACTGGGTGGCGCATGTTTTGCGTGTGGATTCGCTACGTCCGTTTGATGTTTGATATACAACTCCTGTTTTGTCTAAAATAACAGTTTTGTCTTTGGGGTGCACCAGTAACTGTCTGAGGGTTGTCAGTGGTCTCATCGGGGTGCTGAAATGGTGTTTCGTCACCACCCGTGCAAACGCCTCAGATGTCCCCTTCACGTAGGGTATAGTGACCCAGCCTTTGCTTTTGGTGTGGCTCTCATTACTTTCCTTCTGACTCAGGTTTCTATTTTCTGTCTAATCTTTTACCGCCCTTTTCATCTTGTTTATTGACCAGTTGGGGTAGCCACAACGGTTGAGTGCGTCCTGTATGTGCTGTTCTTCCTGTGTTTATCGTCCTGCTCTGTGATGATGTTGTTGCATCTGTCGAGGAGTGTGTGTACGACTCAAAGCTTTTGGTGAAGTGGATGGTGGGAATTGAAAGCCAAATATCTATCAGTGTGTGTCGGTTTGCGGTACACTAATAGTTTGATGGTGCCGTTTTCATTGCGGATGATGAGCGTGTCAAAGAATGGTATGGTTCCGTCCTTTTCCTCTTCGTGGGTAAATTTAATTGTATATGTTTTGTCCACTTGGTTCAGGTGATTTGTTTTGCCCTGCATTGCTCCCTATCTGATGCAGTGTGTATCAGATGTGTACGCTCCCTATCGATAGGCGAAACGCCTCGGGTCGAGTGACATGAAATATATCTAATTTCGTCACATCGTTGTACAGGTAAACAATACAAATCGCTTACTCAGTCATAGCTTGACAAAGGCACAAGTCGGTCTTGAAACGTTGCGACAAGTTTAATACCTACATTATTTGTGTAAAAAAGTAAAACTTTTTTATCACATATTTCCAAACTGATGAATCTTATTGAAAATATATTTGTGAAGTATTGTTTCGTGTTTACAAATTAGAATTTCGAAATTTTACTTCTTATTAACGAATTAAGATAAGTCTCTTTTTCGAACGGTGTATTTCTTGCTTGGTTAGACTGACATTCAACAAAATGACCTGGTTCGCCTCCGTACAGCAGGTGTTGTTTTGATTTGATTTAAACATATTTTGTTTGCAAAAATACAAAACGGATAAGACACAAGTTATAAAACTTAAAGTTCGCCTTCTCCCATAAAATAATAATGATGAAATATACATATGGCTGCAAAGTAGAAAATATTGATGACTGTAGATTTAGATGATTCAAACGGAAACATGAATAAGATAAAATGTATAATTTACAAATCCAGGGATGTGTAGTGGAGGGATACGCAACTTCCTCTTTGCCTTAGTAAATATGTTCCGAGTGAGGTTGGCTTATCTCCCTTGATCGGTGTCCTATGAAACGAGCGCTCCCTAGCGGACAAGTTATGGCTTCATCAGAGCGTGGCTGAAGCGTGAAATTGGTGTGTAAACAAATCAATAATAATGAGTATTACTACATTTTGTTTATCTTGTTGTTGTAGGTTGTTTATACTACATCTGGTGGAAGTAATAGATGGTGTCACAGGACCTGATGTATTGATTTATTGCCATAATTTTTCATTTTCTGTGACTGTGTTCAACGTCAACCGGATGTTGTTTTTTGAGATTCGCGATTTTGTTTTGCTAACCCAACAAAGTTGTGTTTCTAATTCCTCCTCAACGGAATGGTTGACATTAGAATGAAGTATATCCATGGAAAGCTTAATTAATTTAATTTTGTAGGGGGGTAATCTTATTGCGGTGAGTTATTATTAATTTGTGTTATTTTTGTTTCAAAAAGAGCTAATGTTTGTATCACTTTGCGTCGGAAATGGCGTCATTTTCAGTGAAACCATGTTGGCATCTCGCTGTTTAGATCAAATTCTCTTCCAATAAATTCCACCATTTTTCAAACAACGGATATCAATAAAAAGATGATTATTTTTTGTATTGTGTAGACCCGAGTTTATTTGTCCTCTGTCATTATTTTTGTTTTTATTAGTCAGGAACTGCCCGCTATGTTACGAACTTTTTTGTAAACATTTGGAAATTTTGGGTGGAAAAAATCTCATTTCCACCCATTTTGTGTTTCAAATTTCTTCCAAAGTATTTAATAAGGTTTTCAAACTTAACGGCAATGTAAAGCTTAATACATTTTATTTTGTAAGGGAGTAGTCTTATTGCGATGAGTTATTATTAATTTGTGTTATTTTTGTTTCGAAAAGAGCTACTGTAATATGTTTGTATCACTTTGCATTTGTCATTTTCAGTAAAACCATGTTTGCATCTCAAATTTTCTTACAATAGGCCTATATTCCACCAATTTTCAAACGTGGGATATCAATAAGTTAAAAAGATGAGTAATTTTTGCAGGTGTTATTTGTGGTATGTCAGTGTTTTTGTTTTTATTGGTCTGGAAACTGACCACTACAGTTCTGTGGCGGTACCCAATCTGGGACGGTACCCAATCCGGGACACTTGTGGGAAAGGGTCTAATGAAAATAGCTCGTTATACAAACAAGCAATTTAATTTTTGTAATTTTTATTTAATGAACTGTATGCCGACTTATTTGACTGTCGAATCTGCGCGATTACAGGGGTGGACAATTTAATATACTGAGTACTAGTCCACTACACATCCCTGTCAAAATCGTCGTCTGGAATGTCCGACTCACTATATTCTGTAAACTCTCCAAGCAAGTGTTCTAAATCTATGTCATGATCCCAAGACAGAAAATCAGACGTTGACATGATGTGTGATTCATGATGAGACAATTTTAAAAGCGCTGAAGTATCCGATCGTGAAATGCTTTGAACCGACTCCCTCAGAGTCCAAACCAAAATATAGCACAAACTCAAGATACAGACGATAATATCTCCCGACACAACTACTGTACAGCTAGACATGGTGGCAACGATTACATTTCTCCAGTCCATTTCTGCGTCATCAAAGTACCACAATGCTAACCACGTACAGGTGATATATAAGTATATTTACTTTTGTTTTAACATATTTTTAACTAAACCGTTTTGAATTTTTAATGTATAACTGATATAAATAGAAAACAATTTTCATTAGCAGTAAGCATGTCTGAACCATACAAAAGTAAATCAGCAGTTGAAAATCTCAATTCAAATTTCCTTAAAGTTTTCTCTTGGGGGTATTTCTGGCTTCTGCATACAATGGTCATTAAAAAAAATAATGCTTAACATTTTCTATAGGATAAAAACATATGTATTCAGGCGACTGAATTACATTTTTGAGGTCAGAGCTCAAGGAACTGCAGTTATACCTGAGTCTTGTATGCAAAACATTGAATTTTCGTTCACCAGTGGAATAAAAATCAGGAGCAATTTCTCCTTTAAAAGATATTTTATTTTTGAATGTAGAAAGCGTATTACATGTTCTGATTTGAATACCAAGATTATTCGAAAGACTTAATGTGCTAGGAATGAACGATTTCTCAAATAAGGTTAATCGACATCTTGGCATCACATAATTATTTTGATTTCGTAATTTGTAATTGCTAACATTATGTACTGTTTGGCATTAAAAGAACGGGAAAGTTTTTTTTGTATTTTATATAATAATGTTAACTTACGAGTTTTCCAACGATTGTTTAACGTTTCCCACCCAGTTTCGAAATACAAGCTTTGCCTACTTGCAAAAACAGAAAGACCAGTCACAGTTGTACCATTACATTCATCCCATAGCTCGCAAGCGTATTCCAAAAGAGGTCGTATACAATCTGTATACACATTTGACAATGTTTGCTTATTTAAAATATATTTTAACTTACTTAATACTTATATATGTTTTGATGCTGATTTAACAATATTGTCAACATGTAGAGACCATTTACAGTTTTAGTTTAATGTTACGCCTAGATGTCTGATAAGTGGAAGTTTTTAATGGTGTATTATTGAACATTAAATGTACATCTAACTTTTGTGAACAATGAAAAAGTACTACTTAGGTTTTGGTTGGATCAAAATTAACATTCCATTTGTCTGACCAATCTTCAATACTTGCCAAATCATGGTTCAATAATGTTCTTTTCTATTACAGTGCTCGATGAAAATAATAAAGACGTGTCATCGGCAAACTTTCTTGCAAGTGAAAGTAAATTATCAGCAATATCATTTATAAAAACTAAAAATAGTAAAAGTCTTAGGACCGACCCCTGTGGACACCTGCATTTAAATGTCAATTTAAATTGAATAAGTAGGGTTACCTTATATGACCTGCTGCTTTCTATCTAGTAGATAATCCTTAATCCAGGAGAGAATATTACCCTTGATACCATAAGCATATAATTTAATTAATAAACCCTTGTGCCGCACCCTGTCAAAAGCCTTAGATACATACATGTTTGTTGCTTAATTTCCAGAGCAGAACAAACATTATGATAAATTTCTATTAATTGGTAAATGGTTGAATGTCCTTTAACGAAAGCTGATTAATATTTGTAATGTAAATTATTCTCTAACATATAATTATGAAGGTATTTGTGTATGACTCGCTCAAACAATTTTCTTACAGAACTTACCAGTGACATCGGTCCATAGTTAGATGGAAAATGCGTTCATTTTTCTTAAATAATGGTAGAACTGTAGCTGATTTTCATGCCGAGGGGATTTTGCATTCTCTTAATGATCTAGTGAATAAAATAAACAGGGGTTCGCAAACTGTCTCGGCAGTATTTTTTTAACATATTATGACTTATAGTATCATTTCCAGTTGCCTTGTTTAACTTCAATGTTTTGAGAATATCATGAATATTAGATTTAGTAATTACCATGGTATGTAACGACGAATTACAACGGGATGAAAAACTGGGACTGTCCAGGTTTTCATCGATATTAGATATCGAACAAAAATACTAATTGAACACATTTGCTTTACTAATTTCGTCATGCACTAAAAAATTGTTGTCAGCGTCGTATAATGCTGAGATAGAATTAGTATTATTTTGTTTACCAATCAGTCGGTGCATGAGTCGCCAGCCGCCAGCAAGTGTTGTGTGATGAGGGCATTACTTACGAACTTCTTGGGTGGTAGGCTCTGAAAATAGCAATACGAGCGTTAACATTTAATGTAAAACGTCGCCATTACTTACGTTAATAACACTGGGTTCGCTTTTCTTCATGGAGCTATGTTTATTCTGTGTTTCATTTTTAATATATAGAATATGTTAATAACCTTATAAGAGATATCTTATAAACAAATAAGATATCTCGAAGACATATTAAATATTTCATGACATATAAAAAATATCTCAAACAAGATTTTTTTTGGTAATCTTAAAATGCAGAATTGACATTTCTTCTTATGCGAATCTTTTGCTTGCCATATCAAGTCATCATCGTCTCTATATGTATGCAACTTTTAGAGTTCAAAACAAAGATTTCACTTCCGGTTTTATAAAGATTGGTTTGGAACGGCGTGCTGGTCCTAAATTCATAAGTACACATACGTTTTGCTTTTTAAGAGAGACCAAAACACGGATGCACCACTCCCACGCCTAAAAATTAAAGCAAAATTCACGTAAGTCAACATCAATTGTCAAAGAAGATTGTGGGAGGAAACCGGAATACCCGGAAAAACCCCAACCACCCAAAGTAGAAGAGCATAATGCAACATTCTGTAGTCATAAAATTACTTCATCCTAACTGCAGTAAGAGAACCCTTTCAGTCGGGTCCGTTCTCGGTAATTGATAATTTATCAAGGATATTTCCTAAAAAACAAATAACACTGTTGCTCTTATTTATTTTATTTACCATAAAAGTACAAACCACAATGGAATCAGAAATGCATTTCTGTTCATCCAATTATAGTACTCCCGTCTGCGCATATTTTCGGTTGCGTTCTGTAAATAAAGTGAAAGTGTACAAAATGAAAACGTATCATGATGTATATCAGCAGATAAAACATGAAGCTATACACTGTAGTGTTATTGGTCTATAGTTATACATTTCGGATACGGACTATAGCTTTAAACATCAATGTGATTAAGACTCTCCTCTGGGGTTCTGGGATTTGGACAAGATGGCTCCCAACAGCTTGTAATAAAGCAATGTCTGTACTCGTCTGCGAATAAACCCCAATGGATCGTTTACCGAGTTGTCGCATCATTCTAAAATGCTAACATACACGAAGGCTGTTAAGTTAGTAATTCCGTCTTTGCGTATTGCAGAGTTATCTTCTCTTGAGAGCAGGTATTAATTGTTACGTCGTTAGTTTGTGTGAGAAAATTACATCGTTTTCTCAAAAATTGATGACGTTACTCTCACAAACAAATGACGTAACAATCAATACCTGCTCTCAAGAGAAGATAACTCTGCAATACGCAAAGACGGAATAGCAAGTCTGAGGTACATAATGCTATAGGCAGCTGTCTTTATTCATCCCAGTAGTTATAAAACGTAACTTTAAAAATGGTAATAACATTAATCTTCAAATGGCTATAATAACAAAAGACAAAATGAATAAAATAAATGAAAAGAAAAAAAGTTAAATTATTTAGCTCCATAGTAGTCTCTCTGTGTCTACATCCTTTTTTTCAGAAGTGTTTTTAAATGCAAATACTGACGGTCTGTCTGTCGACGTAATCTTTCTTATTAATTGAAATGCGAATACTTTCAAGAGCAATATTATTTGAAATATTTTAATTGCCACAATTTCTTGATTCTTTTAAAGTAACATTTGTTGTCCTTACTTTCGTTCGCACACATAGTATCCGTAGTCTCTACAAGATAAGTCGTTCCACGTCCCAGTGTCATGTGTTACGCTGATGCAGTCTTTGTTGGTCTGACCGTTCGGTTCATTGGGACCCCAGTTAAAGTA